ACATAACATGTTGTGTTGATCGCCTCAGCCCAAAAGAAAACTGCTAACTTTGAATCACACAGCATCGTCCTTGCAGCGTCTTGCAGCGTTCGATTTCACCGTTCAGCAACACCGTTTTGCTGAGGCGTGCGAACTGAACTGTTTTGACGCACAATTCCCTTTTCTGCGCAAAAGTGATCAAGAACTGCATTCTTAAATTTTGTTCCATTATCAGTTCGAAGCGCCTTCACCCGATTATTTGTTTGGTTCTCAATCATTACGATGAATTTCTTGATCAGATCAGATACCCCAGCTTTGTTGTTTAAGAAGAAAACCGATGTGAAATGTGAGAAGTCATCAATCACAACTAGACAGTATGAATTTCTATTGATGCTTAGGACATTGACCGGACCAAATAAATCCATGTGCAACAATTGGAGCACCTGACTGATTGAATTGATTTGCTTTGGCAGATGTGGTTTCCTGTGATGCTTTCCTTGGGCACATGACACACACTTTTCAAATGTTATGAAGTCTCTGACAGGCAGGCCACGCACGATTTCGTTTTTAGCAAGATGATTTAGATTCTTCGCGTTCGCATGACCGAGTCGTCGGTGCCACAACATAGCATTTTGTTCTGAGACTTTTGAAAAGAGGCAGGTGACTTGCTCAGGAATGTTGCTATTCATGTCGATGATGTATACATTTCCATCCCACTTTGATTTAACAAGAATCCACTCACCCGGGATGACAATGTCTGGCTTTAAGATCAGACACTCTTTATCAGTAAAATGCGTTGAATAACCCTTGTTGCAAATATGAGAGACGCTTAACAAGATGTGCTTTAACTCGGGAGCGTAGTTGACGTTCTCGAAACTCAGCACTCCGTTTTTCACAGTTCCTCTCTGAGTGATTTTTCCGCCTTCACCACCCGCAAAGGAAACGAATCCCCCATTAAAAATTTGAATGTCGGTCAATTGGGAGATGTCTCCTGTCATATGCCGGGAACAGCTGTTGTCGACATACCATGGTCTGACGACATTCCTCCACAACTGTCCCTGCAAAATGAGCGGGATCATTTAGATTTGGGGACCCAGGTCATTTCTTTCCTGGGTGGACCCTTAACATTCACTGATTTATCTTTTAATCTTTTTGATTTTGAATCATCATGTAAAATATTTTCAGAGAATGATGATGATTGATTGGAAGATAATTTGGGCACCCACTGACATTTAGGTTTCTTAACACTCACGGGTGATTTTCAAACAATTTTCTTTTCAGTTTGCTTTGAGCATTTGGATTTTCTACCAGAAGGGGTTGAAGATCCAGATTCACTCTTTGACGAAACCGACCTTGGCTTAGCCGAGCTTGATTTTGGCAAACTGTTTGTGACTTTGTTATTGAAAACATGTTTGTTCTTTTGAAAAACTGCCCTTTTCTTGGTTTGATTAGCCTTCCAATCATCATCTCGAGGACGAGATCTCGAGGACTTTCTAGTTAAAGATCTTCCTCGAGACTCGTTCTTTCCTATTTGAGACGAAAAATGCACGAATGCACTATTAGGACAATTCCTAGCGATGTGACCGGCAGTACCACAGTTAAAACAAATCAGCTTATTATTATTGTAACTGGTACTGCCTTTGTCTGATTTGCTTTCTTTACTGACACTCATACTTTTTCCACAAGAACATGTGCAAGAATCAGATTGTGTGATAGGTGGGGGTGAATCCGGTTGTGTGATTGGTGAAGTGGATGTGCTTGAAACAGGAACATCAAATTCAGGAACATCAGAATTATCAAACAAATCATCAAATATGTCAAAAAAAATTTAAATCAACATAATCCGATGTAGAAGTATCACAAGAAGTATCATTGATTTTAACATCAGAAACAAAATAGTCATTTTTTGAAACCAAAACATCAGGTTTAGAAACATTTTTATTATCAGAAACACATCCTTCTGCTTCTTGCTTTGAGTGACTTAAGGATTGATCTGCATGGGAAATAGAAACATTAGTATTTTCAACATTAATACTACCTCCTGACACTAATCCATATTTCAGAAATGGCTCTCTGTCTATTTCCTCTTTTGTCAAGGGGTTATTAGTATAGGTATGATTAAAAGGAGGAGGCACTTTATCATACCCTAAACCCTTTGTCTGATTATTTTTGAATTGCAAATTATTTTCTATCATGAATGCAACTACTTCACTTGACACATTAAATTTTCTAAAAGTAAAATCTGCATTTTCAAATTTGTTTTTCCATGTGTCAAGCTCAGCAGTTACCTCAGCAAGTTGTTCAGTCACATATCTATAATGTGCACTCTTATTGCTATACTCTTCCTGAAGTTTTCTAAAGTCTTTGGTTTTTGCTTCTAATTCAGCCTTTAGGGGTTTCTGTCCTTTCCTAAGTGATACCTTTCATATCTCAAGTCCTCGTTCTCTCTACGTAATAATTCTATATGCTCATGAAGATTTTTAACTTTATCAATACATGTTTGAGAACAATAAGACTGACTTACCTCATTATTTTCAGGATCTGTAGTAGAAGATACCATGAAAGCAAACTGCAACTCCATCATCTCTTCTTCAGAATCAACTTCAGCTTCTTCCACAGGAGTATCATTGATTTGAGCCAAGTGAGCATTTTCAGGTCCTGAAATATTCAGTGCCTGAGTCTAGTCCTCCCAGTCAAAGGACTGAGCAACCACTGCTAGATTAGCAGTCTCACTGATGACAGCAGCATTTCTGCGACCATTTCCCACTGGAACCATTGTTCGATCACTACTTACTCTTCTTTCTGGTTTGGGACACTCACGAGCAAAATGAACCGGCTCGTGACAGTTGTAGCAACGCAACTTTCCCTTTTTAAACCCTACTTTCTTATCCGCATTCATTCCCCAATTATTCTTTCCTCTCTTCTTAGCAAATTGCTTTGCTCTGAACACTGCCATAGCTATCAGCCAAGTAATGTCCATTTCTTCCACATCCTCTGGATGAATTTGATCCAGGTCAGCAAATGAGAGTTGAGGTGGAAGCTCTCCAGCTACAAAAGCATTGTAGCAATTGACAAGTCGAGTGGCAAGAGCTAAGTTTTCATCGTTTTCTTTGGAATGGGGAGCAGGAACCATAACTGGTACATTTGAGGAAGAAACAACTTGAGGGACAACGAAAGACTGACTTTGTTGATGAGAAACAGATGCTAAGGCAACAAATGGTGCAACGGATAGAGTAATAAATGATTGATTTTGAGGTTGTTGAACAGCAAAAGCTTGACTTGTAGAGGAGGTAAAGGATGAAAAGGCGTTGTTCGAGGAAATCCCAAGATTTGCAGTCGAGTAGGAATTCACATGATTAATCTCTTGTTGCTTGTCATCAAGATCACAGGCTTTGATGATTGCCATTGTTTCAGCAAGACTAAGACGATTGAGATCTTTTGTCTTCTTGATAGCAGCTACATTCATATCTCACGACTTAGGAAGTGAATTCAGCAACTTTTTGTTTATCTCAGACTTAGTCAAGTAAATCCCAACTGTGCTCATCTCAGTAGTGAGAGCAGTAAATCGCTGCAACTGAGCTTCTAGGGTTTCTCCAACGATATAATTGAACATGTTGAATTTTTGTCTTAACATATCTTGACGGCTTTCCTTCATATCTTCATTTCCCTCGTAGACCTCAATCAAAGCTTCCCTCATTGCTTTGGTTGAAGTATATTCTCTGAAGCCTTGAGCAATATCTGGTGATAAAGCCATAGTCAAAGTAGCCAGTGCTCTTTCTTGTTCTTCAACCTTTTCGAAATCCTCATCAGTGTAATCAGCGTATAACTTGTCAATTACTTGTCTAGTTGGAAGATTTGTAGATTTTCGTGACTGGTCCTTTGCGAATGCTTCTCCAAACCTTGAAATCTTTCATTTTGATGTATTTCTCGATTCTGTATTTCCATTCTGGGAACCCTTCTGCAGATAACAATTGGGGAATACGAGTGGTTGTTCCCATGATGGAATCCAATTCATGATGAAGTACTTGACCTTCAGAATCCATTTTTTTAATTTTTTTTAATTGAAGATAACTTGAAAACTAAACTAAAATGCCAAAAAAATTAGTTTGCGGTTACACGATTACGGTCAACGTTTACGGTCAACGGTTGAGTTTACGGTTAAGGAGAGTTTACGGTTGAGGAGAGTTTACGGTTGAAGGGAGTTTACGGTTGAGGGGAGTTTATGGTCTAGGAGAGTTTACGGTTAAGGGAGATTGCTTGTTTACGGTCAATGAAGATTGCCTGTTTACGGTCGTGAATGGGAGTTTACGGCCGTAAACACTTGACTGTAAATGCCCAAACTTGATGAAAATGCGAATTGTAAGCAGATCTGGTCCCCTAATGTCACAAAAACACCAAATCCAGTCTCGAACAACGATGAAACTGAGCTCCTTTGACCGAAAACGTGATTGAAAGATGATTTGACACCGGACTTGCTCTGATACCAATTTTAAGGTCCTAGAAACAGGATCTTAACCAGTGATCAAGCAATCTAACAATCAAATAAGATGAGAACTGAGTAGAAGAAGAATGAATCAAAGCTTGCACACGTTTGTATTCAGAAAACGTCTGGTACAACTCTGACAATGACCATAAACTCTTTGGATCATCAATAACCACTAACAGACACAGACTGATCCTATATATAGGGGAATAGACATGACCGCAAACTGGACTTGGCCATAAACAGGTTTACGGCCGCAAACTTGTTTACAGCCGTAAACACACTCTTGGCCGTAAACACATCAAAAACACTTCTATTACAAGACACAAAGTACAAATGACCTATACATCCAAAAGCCTAGCCCAAACCACAACTTGGACCCTTCATTTTATCAACTTATTATACACATGTATAATAAGTTGATGAAACAAAGAAATGCATTGATTTACTAAACCTATAGAAATATGGTATTTAAAAACAACGTTTAAGGGATGAAAATGAAAAAACAGTGTTTTTCTGTGCGTAATCCGTGGAAAAATCACCCACGCTTTACCCACAGACCAGAAGTGTTTCCCCATTTTTCAAAATCTATGGGTAAGCTGTGGGTGATGGCGATATTGTTCCCACGGATTTTCCACAAATTTCTTTTTGTGGGCAATCTGTGTGTAATCCGTGATAATACTTTGTAAATTAGGCTTTTTTTAGTCATGGGAAATCTGTGGCAAATGTGTGGGTAATTACCCACGGATTTTGTCCGTGGGTAATTTTCGTGGGTGAAGGTCTATTGTGTAGTAGTGAATGTCTTTTCTCAGTTTCCTTCTGAACGCAGTGTTATTGTCAATGATGATGTCGATGCTGGGACCACCATTTCTCCTTAGATCACACCCAAGATCCCTCACATGTTCTTTTGTCTGCAACATGAGATCATATATATCGCTGAAAATATCCAAGAAAATAACAGATCGATCAAGTAACTCATCCGTCCATCTCATGTTCTGATTGCTGGAATCTAACGAAGTTTTTGAAGGACATGTTTTGACAAGGTCATCCAAACAATTCATACAACTCCGTCAGTTGAAACACACCGCTGCAAATGATTTCGGCAGATGGATTCGATAACGATGATGTGGACTCCCATGTTTTAACTTTATTCAGCACTTTGTCGATTCTGTAGGTGCATGGATGTGATCTGAATGGCAAAGTAATGGATCGGAAATCTTTCTTGGATGATGGTTTTGGAGAAAACCCCATTTGATTGTTTGGTAGTAATCTTTTTGAAGAGGGGAAATACAATTTTTAGTGATACCAACTACCAGCCTTACTCTTTGGAATTTATACAAAGTTAAAAGCCCCATAATGATGGAATGAAAGCACTCCGCATATCATGCACTTGAATGGAAAATAATTTAGGTGCATCAAAATGTGGGACAACAGACGTGGAGCCATTGCTATCTCTCGGTTTTCACTTCCTTGCAATATCTCGGTGATACATGGCAACCCACTATTTCTTTGATTTGAATCAGAACCAGGTGGATGATGCCTGTGAGATGAGACAGTTTAATGCATCTTGGGAAAATGCGAAATATGGATATCCATGTGAGAGCTAATTAAGATTGGATGAAACACTTTTCTAATCTCGAACAAAAAGAAACAAGAACGTTGAACGTGATTGTTTTCTATGAGAAAAACTAACGAGCATGGAGTGGAAAGTATGGGTATCTATCAACTTTGCATATTCTAGAGTATACTCACCATATTTTCCGGAAGGGGTTATGTGGAGGGATGATGAGAATCCACGAGGTGGTTTTCCAGCTATGGTTTTGTTCCTATGCACTTATATATCTGTAGCATTACTCAGATCTCATACTCACGTGCCTTTGTTAGTTTATGGCATGTGCTGTTTTAGAACTCCTTAAGACTAAAGGCTAAAGGGAGTGGTAATACATTAGATTTTTTTATGCCGCATCATTTTTTTTGAAGACACTTGTGAGGAATATACATGTTACAGAGATCAATTTACAACGAGCTACATAAATTAGGCATTCTGCTTCATTGATTGTTCCTGTCCAAACTATAGCAATAATTATTTTACTTTTACAAAATGTTAATTTTCAACAAAATAGTTGTTAGAAGTGCAAATATATATTTTAACTAAAATGATAAAATGCACCATTCAAACGACCACATCAATCGCTCTCAAGCTAACATAAAAGGTCAATCATGAATTATTAGCGATATTTTGACCTTGCTACCGTCTAACTTTATCTCCCCTCGCTATAAGATTTTTGTTTACATTCACTATAAGAGAAGTCCTTATTTATGCTAGGTCCAACTTTTGGTCGTTAACAATATCATGTACTTACAATATATTAAGTGTGACTACAAATTTAGTGACCGAATATCTAATGGTCATTACATGACACACTGTCACATCTAGCATTTAGGCTAGGACATTCTGGACTCATGTAAACATCCTCTACTGTGATACTTGTAACCCTAATTTGATACTATAACCTATGCTCATTCAATGACAACAAACATAATCAACATTCTTCAGTAAAGCTCAAAATCTTATACAATACATCTCTTATAGTCAATTGTGTGTTGAAAAACCCTAAATGTAACACCCACAAAAATTGAGCCAAATTAAAACATTTTAATTCATTCAAAAACCATTAAGTTCATACATCATGTTTTCAAAATAGTTTAAACATCAGAGTATCCCCCAGGACCATATCACATAAATCATAAAACATGAGGAGCGGTACGATCACGCCTTCACCTTGCCACGATCTCCTGAAGTACCTGAAACAATACACTAAACTGTAAGCCCGAAAGCTTAGTGAGTTACCCCCAAAATACCAACCACACATAAACATACTCATAACATATCACAAATAGAACAGCCATGCACATCGGGTCTACTGTGTGACTGGTCCGCCCGCACCGGGCCTTCAGTCCACCTGGTCCACCCTCCGAGTCCAGCCATGTACATCGAGTCTATAGTTTGATTGGTCCGCCCGCACCGGGCCTTCAATCCACCTGGTCCACTCTCTGAGTCTACAGTATGACTGGTCCGCCCACACTGGGCCTTCAGTCGGCCTGGTCCACTCTCCGAGGCTCGGCATGTCTGGTCCGACCTCTTGGGGCCTTCAGCCTATCCGGACTGCTCGCTGGGCCTTCGGAATATCTGGTCCGCCCTGGGTATGTTGGCCTACAGCACAAAGCAGGACCCGCCTCAACCCAACCCCCGTCAAACAACCATGTGCACATAAAACAATTCATCACAGAAGAAATCCTTAACCAGACTATCAGTCTAACAGATCACATAGCATATCAACATCCTAACCAGGATTCCGACCTAACCGGTCACTAGCATAGCATTACCCTATATACCGGGTACCGACCTTAACCAGGTCACTAACATAACACCATCCTAAATACCAGGATGCAGATCTAGCAAAGCAATAACATAACAACAATACCCGGATTTCCATCCGATAAAGGGCCGGCCTTGGTGCCGTAGACCCTGTCGATATAGTGAGGATAACTCACCTGAAATGAAGAACCGAACCACGGAAGCACACACCCGAAGCACTGCTCCAAACTCCAACACCTATTGCCAACAATGGAACATTGACATAAATAACCAATTACCATAACACCCTTGAAGGACAAAGTCAAAGTCCAGGCCAAAGTCAAACTTCCTGACTGACCCTACTCGCCGAGTCAACCTGTTGACTCGCCGAGTCAACCTGTTGACTCGTCGAGTCCTTATACTCTGAAAACTCTTAGAACACGACTTCAACTTGCCGAGTCACCCCACACTCGTCGAGTCCAACGATATCTGAGTCCCATCCTGTCCAACTCACTGAGTCACCCCTCGACTCACTGATCTGCCTCTTAACCAGAAGAGGTTAGGTTCTGCGACCAGACTCGCCGAGTCCAAGAACAGACTCGCCGAGTCCAAGGCAATCTTCATACAACTCGTCGAGTACACCCATGTGACTCGCCGAGTCTCTCCAGTTCTCAATCCATACAGAGGCTTTTCGAGCCATGCAGGGGCTCCAATCCATAGATCCACTCTTCTACAGTCTAACCCTCACATAAAGTTGCAAACTTTACGTGAAACCAAGGAGGTATAGGCCCAAAACACACTAGGTCTAGGGCTAAGGACTAGGGGGCTTCACCAACAACTCTTAAACAGAACCTTTATGACATTTTGGACCATCACAAGCCTAGATCTGGAGTAGCAACCCCAGATCTAAACTCCAAACCCGAAATAGATCTCAAACAAGCCCCAAAGAACTCCAAATCAACCACCAAGGATGAACCAAAAAGGAAATAGCTTAGGATAATGGTTCCTTACCTCTGAGATGTGCCCAAAACTGAGGTAGATTCCAGATCTACACAAGCCCCTTGATGCTAGCCTCTAATTCCTCAAGCTCCTTCCACCAAATTCCTCTTCCAAGCTCCAATCTCCTCAATAATGAAGTCTCACACGAAATTAGGGTTTTCTGGAACTCTTTGGGGGAATAGGAGGCTGGGAGAAGGACATAAAGTCCTTTAAATAGGGTGCAACCCTCGGGATTAGGGTTTCTCATTCCAGCACCAACTCGTCGAGTACATCTTCCGACTCGGCGAGTTGGCCATTTAACCCACGATCAAATCCCGCTCCGACTCGACGAGTAGCATACCTACTCGTCGAGTAGCTTCCTTAATTTACACTTACCACCCTTCAACTTCTTGCTTCTGAATTTGGGATGTTACAACCCTCCCCCACTTAAATTAGGCTTCGTCCTCGAAGCCTAATGGCAACACAAACTTCCGGATGATACACCTACAATGCATCCACTGATCTCAAACCGGCCCAGATTCCTTCAAACACAGTTATCGAATCCCTAAAATCCATCTCTTCCCTTGCAGGGTCCTGATTACTGCTTCAAGCCGGCCACCGGCTTCTTTTCTCTGATGACAACACTCATCAACTAAGTGCCACCTGAAGACACTGCCTTACTTCCGTATTAGGCATTCATTCGCAACCTGCGAAAACTGGATACCACAACACCCACTGAGTTCTGCCAAGACACTAATCCATCTTCCTTCGCCCAAGATTGGCGATAACCCTGATAACTTGCAACCTGGAACGAATCCTCATGATGGAATACCCCAAATTGGAATACCTCCACATACATAACTCAAGTCTACAACAATACTAGGAACTAAGGAACTTGTCCTTGCGTCACCCTCGAACCCTTCGGTTCGACACAACGGAGTGCAACCCACTCACACCTCCCTATCACGATCTCTAGGTCCTCGACCTCCGACTGTAACATCCTTATACAGTCCTCAGCACCAGTCCAGACTACTCCCGAGTCTATTAACCTACTGTCTCACCTTCCTCTGTCCCAATCTCCAATCTGGAACCACTTTCCTCCACCTCTTCCAAGGAGACTGAAAACATGCCTGCGCATCATCCAACATTGCCACAACCTCAACGGGCATCCAACCCGTATGTGCTTCCATATATCTGGTACAATCCCAGTGCTTACTACCAAGAACTTTCGATCATCCATTTACTCCACCGCCTTCCTTTCAGAGGACCCAAACTCCTTCCGGAGCTACATACCTTCCCTTTCCAGGAAGTCTACTCAACAACCCTTACCGCACCTATAAGTGCCACAGAGCTAAACTCCACTCTACACTATCCATGTAGAGCAACTGCTATTCTCGAACTCCCATATACTTCCGAATCCGATCACATAACTAACAAGGCCCACGCACGGCCTCCAGCCAACTCCATCATCATGATCAATACTTGGGGCCAGACCATATCGATTACTATTGCATGGCGACATAATCACTCATTCTCCGCATACAGATCTACTAACACATACAGAGTCTTCAGCATGACTGGACCGCCTTACCAGGCCTTCAGCCTATCTGGACCACTCTCAGAACCTTCAGCATGTCTGGACCGCCCTCCTGGGCCTTCAGCCTATCTGGACCGTTCCCCGAGCCTTCGGTCTGACTGGTACGCCTTCCGACCTTCAGTCTATCCGGACCGCTCAAAACTGTCGTACGTCACCCTGAACCATCCATCCCGGGAATCTCTCCCATGCAGTCTGTTCTAGCCCTCTTGGGGTTCCGAACTCCAGTTCTGTTCCCGGAATCCTTTCCATGGCCTAAACCCAGGCCTCACATCGACCATCGACCAACTACCTCACCTGAAACTATGGTCTGTTCCCTGC